CCCGCACAGCCTGGATATGCTGCGGAGGCCAGGACGGGTAACACAGGCCAAGCTGTGCCCCCCAGTAGAGACGGGGGAACAGAGGTGCTTATCTCACACTCCACTTATCAGCTGGGATAACAGCTTTGAAAGAACTGTAGGGAGCGAGCCCAGGGCTCGGCTAGCAGGGGCTGCAGGTGGGGAGTGAGGGGCACCGGCAGGCCTGGGTGGGGGGCAGGGCTGGGTAGCAGGGGCTGTGGATAGGGAGTGAGGGGCACCAGCAGAGCTGGGGGGGGAGAGCGCAGGGCTGGGATAGCAGAGGGCTGCAGGTCGGGAGTGAGGGGCACCGGCAGGCCTGGGTGGGGGGCAGGGCTGGGTAGCAGGGGCTGTGGGTCAGAAGTGAGGGGCACAGGCAAGGCTGGGGAGGCAGTGCTCGGTTAGCAGGAGTCTGTGGGTCGCGAGTGAGGGGCACTGGCAGAGCTGGGTGGGGGAGCGCAGGGCTGGGCTAGCAGGAGGATGGGGGTCAGAACTCAGGGCCATTAGCAGACGTGGGGCGCTCAGGGTTGCGGGGCTGCAACAAGATGTTCGGGGGAACAGCTGAATTGTTTCTAAGGGGATTTAATTGTCTCCAACCAAAAGCTGTCTAACCTGAGGCACAGATTTCCCCTTTGGCATGTCCCTTGTCGGAGGTAAACCCCTGAACTCAGCGAGTGCAGGAACGCGTCTCTCTGAGCCGGCCCTGCCTCCCTCCACCAGCTCTGCGCTCATGGGCCGTGCTGAGAGCCCAGCCTGGGGCTTCCCAGCACAGTGAGAGGTGAGCTCGGCTGCCTGGGGCTGGACGGAACTGGCAGCTCAGAGGCGACAGCTCAGAGCTCAGGTTCCTAACTTGGCCTTAGAGCTGAGCTGGCCCCGTTTTTGCGGCGCGCTCAGCTGGAGACGCATTGGGCTTCCCTTCCGGGGGGACGAGCTCTGACGTCTCCGGCTAAAGCCCACTGGAGATGCAGACCCCGGTAAGTGCTCCCCAAGGCGCCTCAAGTTGGGCATCTAGAAATTGGGCAGCTGGAATTCTTGGGAGATTTCTCCCGTAGAGTTTGGGAAAGTGTCCAGAAAATCTTCATCCCAATTGGTTAGAATCTGAGTGGTTTCTTGAGTGGGAATCTGGCTAGAAAGGTCGTGAGCTAGGGGTGGTGATCACCAGTCGATTACTGAGTTTGGGGGAGGGAAGGTTTTTTACCCTAACCCCAGAACGATGACCCTGAACCAAACCTTAAACCCAACTACTTAAACCCCCAACTCTGTCCTAACTCCCTAACCGTGACCCTAACCCCAGCATCCTAACCCCCAACAGATGCACCAACTCCTTAACCCAGGGGCGGGCAAACATTTTGCCCTGTGGGCCGCATCGGGTTTCGTAAATTGTATAGAGGGCCAGTTAGGGGAAGGGGTCGAGGCTCAGCCCTCACCACCTATCTGCCGCCCCCCCAGGACTCCTGCCCCATCCAAATCCCCCGTTCCCTGACGGCCCCCTGGGGACCCCTACCCCATCCGCACACCCCCGCTCCCTATCCCCTGACTACCCCTGGACACCCATGGCCCATCCAAACCCTCCTCTCATTGCTGATGGCCCCCCCGGAACCCCTGCCCCATCCAACCCCCCCTTCTTCCTTCCAGGATGGTCCCATAGGCCGGATGTGGCCCACGGGCCGTCGTTTGCCCACCTCTGACTTAACCCCAACACCATAATCCTCGCCCTTTGCCTATAGTCCTATCCTCATCCTTAACCCTGGCTCTCTAGCCCCTACTCCCTAACTCTGACCCCCAACTCTGACCCTCTCATCAAACCCAACCCCTAACCCTAACGTGCCAACATTATCCCCCGAACCCTGACTTTAGATTCCTTAGGCTGCAATGGTCCTGGGATCAGTAGAGTCCTCATTGTTATTTCTCTGCGAAGCCCCTGGCGCTACGGGTCCCTGGTCCTAGATTGGGTTTTCTAGACCACTGTGATACAAGTACTAATCACCAATTATACCCATAACCATAACCATAACCCCAGCCCTAACCCGAACCTCCCCACCTTGACCCTCTGAGCACTAGGGTTTCTGTGACTCCAGTTGGGTATCAAGCATCCCAGCATCAGAATTATGAGTCATCGTGGCAAACTGACCCCTTGGGATAGGACCCAAGAGTTTCACTAATTCCCCCTGGGAAATGGCAGCAGAACCGGTTGGTATCTGTTGGTTGAATGGCTGCAAAGCTGGCTAGAAATTCAATCACAACACGTCAAATATTGAACTTGAGAGTGGAAAGGTATTTGACCCGAACCATTAAACCATCGTCCTTAATTCTATCCCTGCAACCTATAGCCCTTAACCCCAGCACCTAACCCTAACCGCTAACCCTTAATCCTCCTCCCCTGTGTATAATTATAACCAGAACTCTAACCCAAAAGGCACATATGTCGCGGGTTGAATTGGACAGTCCCAGTCTTTCCTACCGGTTTCTCAAGTGAATTCCCAGGACATCTAACCCCGTGTGTTTGAGATACAGAATTGCTAATTGGCCACTAGGGGCTGATGATGTAAGCAATGAACCCAGGAGTCTAATGAGAATATAACATTTAATATTCATACCCAAGCTAAAATTGCTAGTATAACATCTGCACCTCTTCAGCTGCAGACCTGAAGACCCAAAGGTTAGTGATACGACACTTCTTCAGAGAGCCCAGAAGTGTCCCCCAATTTCAGTTCCTTGGTCAAAATCTTGGGTTATTTTCTAGCTGCAGACGCTGTGATTTCTCCAAGGGGAATTTCTCTGACAGTTCAGCACTTCGTCACCTCATTCCTGGTTTCTCTACCTGGCTGTGTCACTGATCTGCTGTGACCAGGTCCCTTCCTTGCTCGCTGCCTCAGTTTCCCCTCTGACCCTTCCTTTATCTTGCCTATTTGGCCTGTAAGTTCTGTGGGGTAGGGACTATCTGTCATGTCTCTCTGCAGCATCCGGTGTAATGTGGCCCCCGATCACAGACTGGGTCTGTTTAGCACCAAGTGAATTGGGGGCCCTGGTCCTGGTCAGTCTGACACAACCTGGAAGACGGGGGGCAGCCTATCTCAGGCACCCACTTACACACAGACATTAATAAGACCTTGCAACTGTCACTAGTCTCAGCACAAACTGTGCTGTGCTGAATGGAGCAGAGTGGGGCTCCGCTAGGGGACGCTCTCCCCTGGCATTGAGTGCTGGCCCCAGTGCCACGCTAGGGCCTGTGCTGCACGGAGCGGGGCAGGGGCTCGGTAGGGGCTGTGTCTCATGGCCTCACTCTCTCTCCCTTTGCAGTTAGCCCCGTGGCCCCATCTGTCTTCCCCCTGACTTCCTGCACCGGCGAAGGCACCACGTCCCAGGTCACCTTCGGCTGCCTGGCCAAAGGATACTTCCCCGAGCCGGTCACCATGACATGGAGCCCAAACGTCGGCTCCTCGGTTGTGAAGACCTATCCCTCCATGCTGCAATCTTCTGGCAACCTCTACTCCCTCAGCAGCCAAGTCACCGTCCCGGCCAGCAGCTGGGAGTCTGACACCTATACATGCACCGTACAGCACCAGCCCACCAGCTCCAGCATCTCCACGGAAATCCCAAGTAGGGACGGCGCGGCGCAGCCCGGGGGGGGAAGGGAGGGGTTGGGGGGTCTCTCAGGGCCCTGCTCTGGTGACTGCTGCAGGGAGAGAGGATGGGAGCCTGCTAGTGCTGTGAGCTGATGGAGTCGCTGTGGTAGGTGGATGGATGGAGAGAGAGAGACACCACGCCAAGAGAAGCGATGGGTGCTGCAATGCAGGGAACAGGGCAGAGGGCGCCAAAGGGGGCGCCATGCTGCAGGGCATGGGGAGGCTCAGCAGGGGGCGCCGTGCTGCAGGGCATGGGGGGGATTAGCAGGGGGCACCATGCTGCAGGGAGCGGGGGGCTCAGCAGGGGTCTGTACAAAAACTAACCCATCACCCTTCTCCCAGAGCCCATCCCCAATGATCCCAAGGTGAAAGTCCTCTACTCCTGCAACACCCAGCAAGACGCTGTTGAGCTGGTGTGCTTCATCTCTGGCTTCTACCCCGACAATTTTACGGTGGAATGGCTGGTGGGCGGCATGCCCGGGATACTAAAGGGTGACACTGAGCCTTTCAAGAAGGACGCTGACGGCCGCACCTTCAGCACCCGCAGCAATGCCAAAGTCTCCAAGAGCAAGTGGCTGGAGGGCGAGAAGTACACCTGCCTGGTGTCCCAGCCGGGCAGTGCCACCACAAATCAGGCCCAGGCCAGCAAGTGCGAAGGTGACGCTCGCCAACGCTAGGCTCCCTACGAAGAGGAGGGGCAGTGGTGGATTTAGAGTGAGTGGGGCCCTGTGATCAGCTTCATTTTTGGGGCCCCCCTTGGGGCCCAGCCGAGAAAAAGAACATTCTCTGTTATCTGCCCCCGCCCCTGTTTTTCATTCTTGTTTTCTTCATCCTCCTCCTGTAAGTAATAGCAAGTCAATGGAAATAAAGTGAGGTACCTTGATTGTTCATGTAGTCAAACTTATTTTTCCACAGACCACTTGAAAATCACTGGGGGTCTCGGTAGACACTTAACGATCTTTCCAAATATTGTTTGTACCATTAGCTAAATAGTGTAAAGGGCTTTGGATAAGAGCACTTTATACAAATAATGTAAAAACATGTTGGGGTGGTTGGAGTGCGGCGTCTGGCCAGGAGTTAGGGTGCGGGAGGGGGCTCAGGGTTGGGGCAGGAGTTTGGGTGATTACCTGGGGCAGCTCCATTTGGCGCAAGGGGTGGAGGTGGGAATGGGGGGGTGCATGAGCTCCCATTTGGTGCTCAGGATCTGGGGGGGGTTCAGGAGTCAGGGCATGGAGCTGGAGTTGTGGGGGTGCTCCCAGCTCCCTGCCCTACCCCACCCCAGCCCCCTACCCTCAGCGGTTCACGGCAGGGGGTTGGGAGTTATGTGTAGGGGGAGTGCAGGGATCAGGTTGCTGCCCCCGCAGCTCCCCAGCCCTGGGGCCCCCTGTGTTTTACTGGTTAATCAGAGTAGCAGCCGTGTTAGTCTGTATCCGCAAAAAGAAGAACAGGAGGACTTGTGGCACCTTAGAGACTAACAG